CTACTAAGAATTGTGCAAAAAGTCCAAACCTTGTGTGAAAAGATTTGTGCAACAAGTCTTTAGCGTGAAATGTCCAGTTACCTACCCACATTAAAAAAGAGCATTGTGGAAAATGTTGGCAATAGCACAGGGATTGTCAATAGATTTGCCACTTTCTTAAAGGGTGGGAATATAGTCAGCTTTAACTTTACGGATGTTTATGATTGATCTAATTCCTGTCCAGATTTTTTTAATATCATTCCTGTTACACAAAAAGTAGCTCTAAAGTAATTAGACTTGCTAGATTTGATATCTTTAACAACACTTTTCCTGAATTCTTGTGAAGAGATCTCAGATTTGGATCTGGTTGCTTACTTTCATGATCTGGGAGTAGAGCTTATCTCTGTATCTTAGCATGCACGTCTTTTGTTATCCATGGTTTTAGTAGAAAACTTTTTTTCATGCTTTAAGAGCTTCCTGTGTGGAGCATGACAGTTAATAAAAAACCATCAAATTTAATGTTAGCATCTAAATCATTAAGAATGTTTGCCTAGTTAAGAAGTGATAAATTTTTCTTCATCAAACTTAGAATAATTATTTTTATAATAGTTTAGATTTTTATAATTTACCTTAACATTATCTACAATCAAAAATTGGGGAAGGTGATCAGAGATTCTTAGGACTAAGTTACCACTAATAGCATTTGCAGCATCAGTATTTGCAAATATGTTATTGATTAGGGTTGCAGATCTTTTGGTAATACGTGCTGGTTGTAAAATATAGGGAAGAAGAAAATAAGAGTTCAGCATTAGCAGGAAATCATTGGATTCCGGATGGCTTTCACAGTTTAATAGGTTAAGATTTAAGTCTCCCATATGGAAGACATTCTTATTTTCTCTTATAACTGAGATAAAATTCACTCAAAATGTTCCTTAAACCTTACAGGGATAGACACAACAGCAAAGGACTGGTAGTTGATCTCTCCTCCTCTCCATGGTCTCCTCAGCCAGATCTTCAAAGATGTGAATTCCCTCTGGCTTATTCTTTATGCTGTCTTAAGAATGGAATCCTTCGCTTTGTAGCCGATGAATTTGCACACAACCACTCTTGGCTTTGGGGTTCCATCCTGTCTTCTTGGACAGCCAGTGAAATGAACATGCTCAATTTCAGGAACTGACTCAAAATTAAGTTTGTATACAAAGAAGTTCTTCACGTTCTCTCCAGTTTCTTCCAAGCTTTCACCATCATCTTCCATTAATCCTTCAAAATGGAGATTGTTCCTCCTACTTTGATTTTACAAGTACACAGCCTTCTGTAGATGTTTGTTGGCAAGTGCCTGAAGACTAGAGACATTGGTGTTGATTAACTTGATCTTCTCTTCATGGCTTGAGGTCTCCTGTTGGCTGAATTGCAAACTGGCCTTAAAATAAGCAACATCCTTAATTAGATCATCACTACAAGAAGCTATATACACTTGCAACAATGGACTCCATGAACATTTTCATGACGCATTCCCAGGCTTTAAGAAGTTCTTGAACAACACTCAAAGATATCTCCAGCACATTGCAATTGTGACTTTCGTCTGCTTCTGCATACGGAAAACTTTCTTTCCTTTAATTTTTTCGTTTATCAGGCATCATGAAGTAGTTAGAATTGAAGTAATACTATTAAATTTGTCAAATTTATAATAAGTGAACAAGATCAAGTGCTAACGAGTGGGAGCAAGAAAAGACACAACTGTCATCTTTGCTGACTGCTCACTAGTCAGCGAAGATGATTGAAAATGCACTTTCTTGTGAAAAAAACAGCATACATTTGGAGGTTGGTTAGTCCATGCACCTGTGTGGTGCTGTAGATTTGTATTATAGATGCATTATTTGTACGCTTCTTATAAATACACTAACAACTAACACAAGTCTAAATAAATGGCATTCTTGTATGCTTTCACAAATCCGCTGTACTTCTAATGCATTTCACTCATCTGTGACTTTCTTTGTCAGCACCACTGGTGGGAGAGGTGACTGAGGAAGATTAAAAATGGACGTTTTGACTTTACTTTCTGCTGATGCCAAATCAACATCAAAGGATTAATTTAAGGAAAATGTGGCTTCCCTACAGGACAATAGCTTCTGGATGGCAAATCCAAAGCTCGAGAACTGGTTTGATAAAACATGATTGGTAGAAGCAAAGGTAATGATTATTTCACACTGTGTACATGGCATAGCACTGCTAATAGAAACATTGGTTTGATGTAACTGTTTTATTGAAGAACTTGAGAATGAAATGCATCAACTTAAAATAGGGAAAGGAAAAAAAAGTAATAACTCCTGATTCTTCAGTTTTGACCATTAGCTCTGGCTTCTAACATTATTACTTTGTGTGTATTTCTTCAAAAGGAAACTCGGCCTATTTCATTTTTAATTTTGTATATAAGGTCAAAGGAAGTGCTTCAATTAATTAATATGAAATAGTGATCAGATAGAACCATATTTATCTTTGCCAATTTAAGGATGAATGTGAGCATTCAGACGATTAAAGACAGGTTTATGATCAATACCATCACCAACGACGGCATTGAGCCTCAGATTAAATCCTAAAAATATCAATACCTCAAAGATAACAATAACAACAGTCTAAGTGGAATGATAACATTACTGAACCGGGAAATCGTACGTAACAAATACGATAGGTGGGTGCCAACATAGCCAACAACAATAACAATTACGTGAAATGTATTTTATGTGACGAGAAAATTGGCTGATTTAAAGGAGTCATAGCAGTAATGAATCCTGATAAGATTGCATCTGATGTAAAAGATATCTGAAGAAGCAGCTCCTCTTGATTCTCTGCTTCTTTGTCAAAACTTGTGATTTAAAGGGAAATCATCAATCAGAATGTATTTATTCAGTTAAGAAATAACATGACATCCCCACTGATTTTCTGTTTCTGTTGTTTATAATGAGTTGCTATAACAGTTGCACACATTATAAGAATAGTAAAGAGTGAACAAGTTAGAATTAAGGTACATTTAAGGTGCCCTGAATGTTTCCTCTCATATGCATTGAAAATATACAGACAGTGAACTAAGTTACAATGCATTTTTACTTGCGTTGTCACTTTTTGGTACATGTAGTTCCTCTAACCCCTAAAAGTGACTAGCATCTACATGTAATTCTCCTTAAAATATCACGCCTGAATTACACACAAGAGTAAAGGAAATGATCCCTAAATGAGGAAGTTCTTGATTGTTAAACAAATTCTCTTTGCTAGCACCTTAAGAAATGTGTAGAGAATTGTGTGGATAGAGATTAAGCATGCTGATATAAGGGTGTAAAGGGCTAAGCTTGTCTTTGGAAATTTTCTTTTGCAAAGCTGTTTGTATCTACAAAGCTGTACCAATATTCATTACCATATTCTACTTGCTTGTTCAGAAGCTTGACTTTAAACCTGAAGTG